CCTCTTAGAGGCTATTATGGTCGCAGTATAGGCACCTCTTGTACAGTTTGCCCACTCAGCGATGTCTGGGTTTTATGAGTTTTCCCAGTTTTTGCAGGCCGGTGCGATAGTCAGTCATACACCTCCAGGGTCCTTATTCTATGGAGGTACTTCATCGTCATCAGCTCCTCATCAACAAAATTTAGCTGCTCAGGACGAGAACGACGACTACGACGATGATGATGGTGATGACAGCGAGGAGTCAAAACCAGTGATACGAAGAAATCCTCCTCGAGACCGACAGCCACTGCCCTGCGGAACACATTCGCGTCACAGGCATCGATAGATTTTTTTTTATTATATTTGTATTTAGTACTTTTTATTGTAGTTGTTTATTGGACTTTTTTATTGTAATTTTTTTATTTATCATTTAATACTTACTTTAATTCGTTAATATGGTTGGATTTATTTTAATTTATTTTGTTAAATTTGTTGGACTTTTTGTTAATCCATTTTGCTTAATTTTGTTTATTACCATTTAATATTAGTTATTGTAATTTGGTTATCATTTACCATTTAATACTTATTGTATCGTTAATATCAGTTATTCGTTAATATAACGCCAACGTCCAATCTCATGTAATTGTATCGTTTTTTTAATCTTCATCAGCGGTTATCGAATAACATTAACTTGAAGTAAATACAAATTAAAGTACAATAATTATTATTTGATAAACAACTACATCATTTCCTCATCAATTGTTAATTGATGACAAAAGAAGTGGACATGTTTTTCTTGTGTGTCCTGAGTTTCTACAATGCTCACATCTTCTGTCTTGTCTAGATCTTTCTCGAATATCCTTATCGCAATGAATTCGATTGGATTTTGGACGACCACGCTCCCTCAATAAACTCGGATTTGGTACAATCGAAAACCAATCTTGTACCTCATCAGGGTCTTTGTCATTACCTATGGGGGGAACTCAAATTCGTATACCTTAAAAACTTCATATAGTAAGTATACGAGATCCAAAAAATGGTTATAGTCTTAACGTGTATGCGAGCAAACTGTTATCACATGAGAGCATGTATACTTCAGAGCTTGAAAAACCTGCAGTCGCACGTTCTATCCCTTAGATTTACTCTTAATGACACAACTTCAATCCCTTGAAGAGGTCGCGACAACTCTGTGACACGAAACATTTCATGTCTTCTAGAGAAGCTTGCTATAGACATTCCATTTGATGCAACAATTTTTTTCTGTAGATCTGCAACTAATCTAGGGTGATAGACATAACTGCCTTGCATCCAGGTTTTAGCTTATCCCCCGAGCTTCGTAAAAAGCACCCCCAAACGAAAATATGTAGTCTTTACCAAAGTCGCTATAGGTAAGTGACGTGCACCTTTTAAGGTTGAATTGACTCTGCCAAGTTGGTCGTAATGTGTCCATATCGGTATCCACCATCATATGCGTTCGTCCACATTTCTTTATCGATGAGGTTGATGTAATCGTATCCTTCATCGTTCTTCGCCCGCAAATCTTGAAGTATTGATTCATACGTTCGAGGAAGTAGCTCGTAACCTGATCAAAAAATGTATAACTTACTAACCTGATCAAAATGATCGAAAGAAAACAAACTACATCAGTTTCACTTACCCATGCGCACAAGTAATTGGCGCTCATCATTCTTCTTGTATCTTCCATGGTAGTTTGCAGCAATGTGTCGGAGACAATACCTATGTTGGACAAAGGGTGGTTGCCACATTGGACCCAAAGCCTCCATTGCTGCTTTGATCCCAGCTCCGTGATCTGAAATGACACAGATTTTTTCCCTTGTGACAACATGTGCACGTAAATTTCGGAGGAAAAAAACCCAAGAATATGTATTTTCTACTTCGACAATAGCAAAAGCAACTGGAAGAATGTTGCAATTGCCATCTTGGACAACTGTCAATAATAAAACTTGCTTGTATTTTCCATACAAGAAAGTCCCGTCAATCTGGACCACAGGCTTGTAGTATTTGACATCATTAACGCACTGTGGGTAAGTCCAAAAAACCCGATATAATTGGCATCGATCGCGGAGAACTCGATCATTATGATGCATAGGAGGTTTCGAAGTCCACAATTGTCCCAGGATTCAACCTCCGCACCAGCCTAAACCAGCCTGTAAGTTCGTTGTAAGATGCATCCCATTCGCCATGAAGTTTGAAAATGGCATTTTGTTTTGCCAACCAAGCTTTTTTATAGGAGACATCGTACTCATACTGCGATTGTATATCTGAAATCAACACTGCAACAGCTATATGAGAGCTTGTTTTTACCATGGGCATGATGGCTTGTATATCATTTCAGAGTCCAAGCTGGGATGATCTTGGTTGACCCCTCCAACACAACATGTGTGAAAATTGTTGTATACTATTAGTTCTCATATGTTGTTTTTCCTCTTCCTCTTCGATACGCGAACCATCCAATTGCATCCGTTTTTGCGTCAGGCACAGTAAATTACATATTTTTCGGTCGTAGAGCGGTCGACTCTGGACTGAATAGAATTATGGATATTGTATTTTTTATAGCCATCACCGCTTCTTCTTTGCTTGAAAACTCCATGCCTCAAGATAACTCACCATTATTTATTGATGAGTAATATCCATAGTCACCGAGATGAGGCATATCAGTAAATTTTGGCCCATACATTGCACCATAATCAACTTCATACATGTGTGTTGGAGGGTCAGTTTGTGCCACATTTCCTGGAACTTCATCTACATCATCATCATCATCGAAGTTGAATTGCGGTGATTATGGGTGAATGAATAGTCCAGTCTCAGCACCATCCGCACCAGGCTCACAAAGAGGTTCTTCTGGTGGAGATGATGGTTTCTCCATGCTCTCTACATTTAGGTCGAAGAACCTACTACTTACACTCCTTCCCCTTGAACTAGAAGGCATATCGACATTGAGATCGCAAAAGCTCACAATCGAATGCCTCCTCCTAGAGCTTGAAGTCATCGTGTGAAATGGAAACTGCACAGATTGTTGCGTCGATAGCATCTCCATATTAAGGTCAAAGGGATTTGCAGATGAATGTCTTCCCTTTGAACTGGACGCGATGTTACCATACGGATTGTTCGTCGACCCACCTCGGTACATATCGTAAGGAGTTGCGGATGAATGTCTCTCTATTATGGTATTAAAAGCATTACACATTATTGTCGTCGGGCTGTCAACATGTTCAGCCAGCCCATAGTGGGAGCTTAATGATTGATCCCGAACAACACGCACTTGAACAAAATTTACATACATCTCAATATCGGCGTCTGAATAATTACTTTGAGCTTCAACCATTATTTCCACATAATCATTGTTCAAAAGTTCGAACGCTATATAAGTTAATGGCAACAATGATGTTGGAAATTTGTACTGCAACGACGACATTCTTCTACTACTTCCAACATGAATCTTCCTCGAAATCTTCGTTATCAGCTCCTCAAGAGTTATATTTCTCTTGAATGATATTTTAACACGCTCATTTGATACAAAAACAACGCCGATTTCATCTTCTCGAATTTCACTATCATAATAAACAATAGCTGAAAATCGCGCCATTCTTTGAGTTTAAAAGTGTGACAATATTATATCTGTAAAAAAACAACTGAAACAAACCTGATTAAATAAATAATATATGAACGAAAATATAACACATAAACGTAAATAATTTAAATAATATAATTTTATATTATTACATGTACCGCAAAACTATTTCGACGTATTCTCCAGCTTTCTAATTTTACAAACACAGAAATTAATTAACAACAATTACTAGAATATTTTTTCAAATAATCATAATAAACAATAAGTATAATAAAAAATTATCACAAAATTACCTTATAACGAAAAACCGCACGAACTTTTGAATCAAATATGAGAAGATTGTCGAATTTTTGTATTAATTTTTTTCTGTTAAGAGGAGATGTGAGGGTATCGGGGGGAAAGAGTATTTATAGCTGGAAAAAGCTACAAGACACGGTACCTGCATCACGCCTTACATAATTATATCAGATAAAATTAAGACTCGGCCCCTGGTCCGCGCCTAATATAATTGTGTCAGAATTAAAGGTAAGGCGCGACACCTGCCCTACGCTATACTCCCACGTAGCCTAAGGCGCGCCCCAGGGGCCGCGCTTTACACACGTGTATTCTATGTCAGCATAAGGCGTGCCTCAGGGGCGCGTCTTACCATACGTGACGCCAAATCAGCGTACAACGCGCTTTAAGGGCGCACCTTTCTACAAATAATGTTAGATCGAGAAATATAATCTGAACGATGCCTGATAAAGAATATTAAATTTAAAAAATAATTTTTCGAGAAAAACACTCGAAATCTATAATTAATAATTTTAATTACGTCTTTTTTTTCTAACTTTATATAAATATTGTCCCTACACAAACGGATACATGAACGAGTCATCACAGCCGTCCCATCTCTTACCTGCTTATTGGAATCCACATAGACACATATAGTTTTAACGTCAATCACGCAAACATCCTAAAACAATTATTGAAAATTAAACTTAATAGAGTGTTTAAAATTCTAAAAGGTGTGAAAATAAAATTTTAATAAAAATTATATTCTTTTTGTCCTATAAAATGATCTATTATTGATTTTTTATTATTTTTTAATTTTGACTAATTATTTTATTATTTAAAATTTATAATTCATAAAAATATGTAAAACTATATTTTAAAAATTTTCAATAGTTTTTAAATATATTTTATAAAATTTAATTACTTAAAATATTTAAAATAATTATAGTCAAATATTAAAAATTTTAACTTTTTAAAAATTAACAAAATACAATTTTTATGGGATTGAATAAATATATAATAATTTAAAATTTTAAGCCTACGCTCACTCGCCCCCTCACATGCAACTCTTACTTGATTTTCATCTTGTATATATATATATATATATATATACCCCCACACATGCAAGTCTTACACTACTTCACCATATAGCTGCCTTCTTTTCTCTATTCTCTTTTCCTCTCTGTATCTTATTTTATAGCATGGCGGAGCTAGAGTACCTGGTTAACACCAAAAGCAACACGGCCGCCGCCGCTACTCGTCTAAAGCTCTTTGGCTTCAACATATCCGAAGACGACGGTGGGTCGGAATCGATAACCATTACGAACACGGTCAAAGCTCCACCGTCCGGGACTCCTTCAGGTGAACGTAAATACGAGTGTCAGTATTGTTGCCGTGGGTTCGCCAACTCCCAGGCCTTGGGGGGTCACCAAAATGCTCATAAAAAGGAAAGGCAGCAGCTGAAGCGTGCTCAGATGCAAGCCACGAATCCTATGATCTCTGCTTTCGCTCCTCCGCCGCATCTGTTGGCCTCGGCTGCACCCTTTGTGGTGCCAGCTTCAACGGGGCCATCTTGGGTTTACTTACCACGAGGAGGGCCTCCTCCGCTTTTCCACTACTCGCTCGGTTGTTTGATTCCAACTGCCGGTGGTGGGAGGGCGCCAGCAGGAGTATCTTATGGTGGTGGTGACGGTGGTGGGGCCAACCATGGAAGGACCTTTGATGGCCCCTCTTTGAGTAGGTTTACAAAAGGAGACCATGGTGGCAGTAGTTTTGATGATTCGCTGAGCTCGGATTTGCATCTTAGTCTTGCACCATCTCCGCCTTGATTCTGTATCATACTTAGTTTTTTCTCTGTACATTTTTAAAAAATTATTTATTTATTTTCACCTATAAACTGCACACACTCGCATTCTTTGATACTTATTATAACTAAAACAAATTCAAGTTATACGTTAAATATCAACAACAAGTGATTTAATTAAACAAGTTTAATTAGTTGAATGTTTTGATTGATAAAATTTCAAAAAAAGTAATCAAAATGAAAAGAAAAAATAATTAGGTGATCAATGATATAGTTTAACATTTATTCTAAATAATTTACCGTTATTTTTTTAACTAATTTAGAATTATACATTGAGACCTTTATAATTTTAAATTTATATAAATTAAATTAATAATACTCATAGTTAATGATACTCATCGATATTCGTCGAGCGTAGCAGACTATCTTTTATTATAACTCAAAACAAATTCCTCCAAAAATTATTAAATCTCTAACAATAAAAATTTCTCAATTCTAGAGATATTACATAATCATCATAATTATTCTCTATTGGGATCATTCTCCAAAATTCATATTACTAAGTCTTTTAGTTATACTTGTGTAGTCTGCCAGCATACTAACATGCATGATGATCCTCAGCCAAACACTAAACATCAAAGGATCAACATAAAAGTTCATCAAACAAACATGAGGGTGAAGATTCTCTCTCTCTCTCTTCCTACTCTCTCACTTCTATTGATTATATTCTTCTACCTCTATTTCATCTCCTCAAAAAAAAATCATCCAAAATCTTTATTGAATGCAACTCTCCATCTAAATAAGAAAAATAAAACATCAATGGTCAATGAAAAACAAACTTATTTCGATCAATAAATTTCATTTGAAAAATGTTCATACACTTAAAAAATCTTCATAAAATTTACATATTTAAATATAAAATATGGATTATAACCTCCTAGACTCGGCCTAGACGGTAAACCCAACTCTAGACAGTCACATGTCTTATACTGAAATCAATACTAGATTCTAAACTCATTTAAAATCCATTTTTGTCAATAAAATCCATGTAACGGTAAAATATTGAAATATATAACCATCATAAAAGTCCATACAGTAAATATACAGAGATATCAACGCTAGAAACAAAATATCGATAAGACAGAAGCGTGAAGATACTAGTAAAAAGACATGTCACCAAAGTATAGCAAAAAGGGCATACAAAAATATATAGTGATACACAAGTGAGGATACATCGGTCCTCTTGATGCCAAGTCTGCTAGCCTATTATCTGGTACTATCTGAAAAGTTAAAAATTAAAGAATGAGCTAAAAAGTCAATGTGTTCCTTAGGTGTATAAAAACATACAGATAATATATTTTGATAAAAAGTTTATTTATAAAACCTGATTTTTAAAACATGAACAATACCCCCATCTAAACATCAGAATGTGTAGGTTCCCCTGAACCATACACCCACATGTACGCCCAGTAAGGACCTTATGCTGATAGCATGAGGGCCTGCGATAAGGTCTTAGCCAATGCACAAAGCAGAGGAGCCTACGGTAAGGCCTTACATGTCATAGACTAGGCCTTAGATACTTCCTCCAATCATATCCCCTAATGATAGTAAATATGCATGAATTTAAGTGAGAACAACAATTTAATTAAATAAAACATCAAAACATACAATTTTTCAATATCATGTACATAAATATGGTAACCAGATATCATATTAGAAATATACGATAAATAAGAGATCAGACATCAGAGTATGCGATGAAACATATGTCATGTAGTCATAATATTTATATTTCAAAACAGTTCAAACATAAAGTTTAAAACATAAAAGTCTGGGATAGTATCATACTCTCGGGACTGCCAATCACGATCAGTGAAAGTGTTAGACCTTACGAATCAGAAAAACCTACTAGTCACTATCGATGAACGTGCAACGTGTTGATCTATCGAACGGAAAGCACCAGATCTGGTCGACCCTCGGTCAGGGGAGTCACGGGTACCTTCATGAAAAATTAATCCCATATCAAGTTCATAATTAAATCCCAAATAAATAAGCAGAAATGCTAAAAATACTAAGCTTTTTTGGATTAATGAGATCGATTTGGGGATTTGAGGTCAAAATTTGGTAAAATATAACGCAAAATCGGGCTTAGGACGTCGAAAAAATCAAAAGAGAGGTTTCAAAAAGTTAACGCCGGTTAACGAGCAACGTCGGTCAACGGTCAAATGGCATAGTCAATGGTGTAGTGTGATACGATGCAGTTGACATTGCGGTGTGGTGTAACTCGATTGGATTGATTCAGGTCGGCACGGTTCGGCTCAATTGAACAAGTTCAGATTGGGCCGATTCAATTCTGGGTTTGGGCTGACGGGTTACAGGTCGGATACAAGCCAGACGGGTCGTTACGACCTGGCTGAATCGGGACAGTGGGTCGGGTCTGACCAGCTTCTGGAAGCCCACCAAGTGGTGGACCTCCCCCATGCATAGTGGCGGTAGTGTGACATATTTAGACATCAGAAATATTCATAAAAATTATTAAAAAGCATTTTAAGGCACTTACAAGACTCAGTTTACCTCGTTGAACAATGGAGAACTCAATTCGATAACGTCGAGGGATAAGATTCTCTCTCTCTTCCTACTCTCTCACCTCTATTGATTATATTCTTCTACCTCTATTTCATCTCCTCACAAAAAAAATAAATAAATAAATCATCATCCAAAATCTTTATGGAATGCAGCTCTCCATCTAAATAAAAAAAAAGTAAAACATCAAAGGTCAATGAAAAACAAACTTATTTCGATCAATAAATTTTATTTGACAAATGTTCATACACTTAAAAATATTCATAAATTTTACATATTTAATTATAAAATATTGATTGTAACCCCTTAGACCCGACCTAGACGGTAGGCCCGAATCTAGAAGGTCACATGTCTTGTACTGAAATCATTTCCAAATTCTAAACTCATTTAAAATCAATTTCAGTAAATAAAATCATGTAACGGTAAATTATTGAAATATATAACCATCAGAAAAGTCCATAAGGTAAATATACAGAGATATCAATGCTAGAAGCAAAATATCGATAATACAGATGCGTGAAGATAGTAGTAAAAAGACGTGTCACCAAAGTATAGCAAAAAGGGCATACATAAATATACATTGATACAAAAGTGAGGAGAGATTGGTCTTCTTGATGCCAAGTTCGCTAGCCTACTGTTTGGTACTATCTAAAAAGTTAAAAATTAAAGAATGAGTTAAAAATTAAAGAATGAGTTAAAAAGTACAGTGTGCTCCTTACAGTGTATAAAAACATACATATAATATATTTTAATAAAAAGTTTATTTATAAAACATGATTTTTAAAACATGAACACTACCCACATCCAAACCCTAGAATATGTAGGTTCCCCTTAACCATACACCCACATGTACGCTCGGTAAGGTATCGGTACTTTATGTGAGTACCGATTGGATATTGAGTTATGAGTCTCGATACTAACCTGATATGTATCGAAATCAGGGTCTCAGTATCGATACTTCATGCATGAGTATTGATACTTCCCTTGTAAATCTTTCTAATATATGCTTGACTGATGAATAATATCGATATTGTTCATACAATATCAAAACCATCGTTGTTAGGTACTCTTTTTGACATAAAAAATCTTATATTTCAACCCCAAATGTCCCATTAAGGCCCCCAACAAGAATTTAAGTGTTTTATTTGATATTAAGGGATATAAAGAGTTTTTAAACATACTGAAAACATACAAGTGATGCAATCTACCATGAACATGCTTCAAGCCTATACAACTTACCAATCTCATTTAAATGAGCTACATGTAGTATAGATAAGCCATTAGTGAGTTACCTGATGATTTTAGGCTATTGGGAGTGTCCAAGGCTCAACCTAGAACAAGTTTGTCCTTCCCTTAGCTTTGGAGCTCTCTCTCTCCAATCTCCATCTCTACTAAAAATCAAAGCAAAGATTACTAACATTGATGGAAAGCTCAAAGGAGTATTTAAAATACTTCTAGAGGTTTAAATCTCCCTAAACTGGAAATGCTTGGGTTCCTAAAACCCCTACTAAACCCATATTTTGAAACTAAGGTAGAAAGATGAAATTGAGAACTTGAAAGAAAGCTCATGGAATGTAGATTTCATTTCTTACCTTGGTGTTGGTGAAAAATGCTTGAAGGGAACTAAAGTTTTCACCTTTTACTTAAAAAAACAATGGAAGAAGAAGAATAAGGGATCTTGAGAGAAGAAGACAAAGGTAAAGAAAAAGAGAAGCAAGGATCAGAAGTGAGATCACTATTTCATAACTGGTGATTAGCCTTTATTTTGAACAAGGGTCTAAACATTCTGGGCCCTCTTGGTTTTTGCCGTAACCTAAAAACATCATTTTTACCCTCTATTGGGCTTATCTCAAGCCCAAATCCACTTTATTTTGGGTCGAACATTTTCCCAAGCTAGAAATTAATCCAATACCTATCTCAGGTTTACCTAAAACTTATAACCCAAGATTCGGGGCGTTACACCCAATGATAGTAAATATGCATGAATTTAAGTGAAACGATAATTTAATTAAGTAAAACATTAAAACTTGCCATTTTTCAGAATCAGATAAAGAAATATGGTAACCAAATATCATATAAAAAATACGATAAATCAGAGATCATAAGTCTGAGTATTCGGTAAAACAAATGTCATGCAATCAGAATATTTATATTTCAAAACAGTTTAGACAGATAATTTAAAACAATACTTAACACCAAATAGGAACACACATGTACTGATTTTAAAAGTCTGGGATGGTAGCCTACTCTCGAGTCTACCTATCAAGATCAACGGTAGTGCTAAACCCTACGAAATCAAAAAAACAATCTTAAAATCCTAATAGAAAATAAATAACAGACTTTAATTAAATAATTTACGGAAACCCACTAGTCACTCTCAAAGAACGTGGAACGTGCTGGTCTATCAGACGTGAAAAACTGAATCTAGTTGACCCTCGGTCAGAGAGGTACCTTCATGAAAAATTAATCCTAAATCAAATGCTAAAATGACTAAGCCTTTTCGGATTAATGGGCTCGATTTAGAGATTTCGTGTCAGAATTTGGCAAAACGAACTGTAAAATTGGACTTAGGATGTTTAAAAATGTTAGAAGGAAGGTTTCAAGAAAAGTCAATGTTGGTCAACGATCAACGATGATGATCAAACAACGGCTAACGGTGCGATTAGCGATGCTTTGCAATAAAGTGCAATGCGGTGTGGTGTGGCTCGACTGGACTAGTTTGCGTCAATACGTTCGGATTGGGTCGGTTTGATTATGGGTTTGAGCCGACGGGTTACGGGTCGGGTCAGATACAAGTCAGATGGGTCAGGTGGGGGCATGTGTTGCGACTTCGGGCGTCGTAAAAATTCGTAAAAACTTTAAAAATCATTTTAAAGTGTTTTAAGACACTTACCAGGCTCGGTTCACCTCGACGAATGGCTCGATTTGATAACGTCGAGAATTTGATTTCGTTCACCCTTCTACACGCCGACGATGTAGACAACGAAACGACCACCGTTAGACTCGAGACGACACCACGAACACAATGATATGGGCGGTGTAGCAAACGGGGCATTGGTCATTAACGAATTGACGATCAAGGTTTTCCCGATAAACCATCCAAAACGGGGAAAAGGTAAAATTATGTTGTAAGTCTTTCTAGTTTTAAAATTTTCTGATTTTAGACTCAAAATTAATTAAAATTTCATTTTACTCCCCAAAATTTACCAAAATTTTAATTTAATCCCCGGAATTAAATTACGAAAAATTTAACCTCATAATTGGAGTGTGACATTGATACTTTTAACATAAAAATTGTACACATAAAATAAAATTGACATATTTTTTAAAAAATATTGATACTTTTAAATATAAATTAACATCAATTATTTATTTTCATCCACTTAAAAGAAATCTTCGTACAACTTTTAAATTTTACCCTCAATAAATTTTCTAACTCTGCCCTTATCAGCCAATCCTTTTAAGTAGAATAGAAATGATGGAAAATGGCCACATTAACATGCACCCATTTTGATATGAGCAGTTTAGTTTGATTGGATCATATAAGTTGAAGTGACAAAAAATATATTATAAGTTTGAAACAAATTAACCACAAGGACTGGGCTCATTTCCACAACATCGGGCCAGGACCAAATAAATTAAGGCCAACAAAATTCACAACCATGAAAGCATAGTTATTAATTAACCAGTCGGCCATTGCTGATTTTAAAGCATAGTTATTAATTAACATTTTCTTACGGTTTGAGTAGCTTCGAGTTCTTGTATAAGTAAAAAATCTTAGCTTCGAGTTCTTGTATATGTAAAATATCTGTGAGAGGCTCGTCATTAAAATTAGGTATGTGACTCGAATCAATCCAAACGAATCAGAACGAATTCTTGGAACTGTGTCATGGCCGAACCCAACCACTAGCCCACTCGAAACACCTACTTCCAAATTCATGAAGAAGAAAAAATCTCATAACCCAAACGTCAAAGCTTAAAGTCGCCCTCCTGCACTATTCTATAAATCAAAACCTCTCAATCACTTAGCTTTGCTTCCCGGCGATTATCTAAACGAATTCAAACAAAAAAGGTTCATCTTTTTTTTTCCCTGGGGTTTTCGAGTTTAAGCTCGCTCCATCTTTTGGATGCGATCAATGGTGTATTCTAATGAGAGAGACAAGGCGATGGAACCCGAGAGATCGAAGCCACTGCATAATTTCAACCTGCCTTGTTTGAAGTGGAGCAATCAAACGCATCTCAAGCTCGGTGATGCTTCCGCTCCCGCCGACTCATTGCGCCGTCCCCGTCGTCATGTGATACGGGTACGCCGATCTGCCTTCGGGATTTCGATACAGGGTGGTGGAATGCGACGGCCGGAACAGGAGTCGTGTCCCAAGAAACACGATTGTGGAAGGGAGGGCCAGTTGAAGATGTCAACGGGAGAGGCGGCGGAGGGGATCGGGGCGGTTAGAGAGGAGATCATGAAGGATCTGAAAACAGCGGCGGACGATATCATGGGTGCGGTTTTTAGAGACGAAGTTCCCGTTGACGATGAGTTGAAGGAGAGTAAACGGAAGGGAAAAGAGATAGAGGAGGAGGAATCGCCGGCTGTAGAGGTGGAAGCGAAGAGGCCGTGGAATCTCCGGAAAAGACGTGCCGCGTCGCAGACTACGATTGTCGGGGAAGGAGCTAACAACATTTATAGTCCTCCGTTGGCGGCAGTGGCCGATAAGAAAAGACCACGACCGAAATTCTTGGTCTCACTTTCAAAGAAAGAGATCGAGCAGGACTTCATGGCGATAACCGGGCGTCGCCCTCCGAGTAGACCGAAGAAACGGGCACGCCACGTTCAGAAACAATTGGATGTGAGTTAATTTTCCGCCATTGTTTTCTACAATCCTTTCTCTTTTTTCATTATTCACTTTGAATTTTCTCTATTGGGTCGCAGTCTTTGTTTCCCAGAATGTAGCTGTCGGAGGTATTGGAGGATTCGTACAACGTCCCGGAGACCGGCGAAAACGGCAAGGTAAGAAAAATTTGAAATTGTTGGTCTGTAGTGTTAAAGAACCTAAATTCATGAGCTTGATTTTGATAACCTTCTTTTTACAGAAGTAATTACGGAGCAGCAACAAGCTGGGAGGAAAATTTCAGACCTTTATGAACTGGGAATTTCATTAAAAGGAAGCTTTAGTTTCAGTTTTATTATGATCTTCATTCTTCCTCTTCTTCCTCCTCTTCAATCTTAATTGAATGAACTTGTGAGCAAAGTGTTGGTTTCTAAATAGAAAGTGTTGGTAGGAGATGATGCTCAACTAGTAAATTTCGATTATAATTTAGTTAGTTAAGTTTTCATTAATACTTTGATTAATATTAGAGTTTGAGTTTCACTTAACTATGAGTTATGATGTATGTTGTGAATGTGTGAGATTAGGGTTGCTTAGTGACCAAGTCGATCGTGAGTTGGACAGTGTTTGTTAAAAGATTTTGTTGCTCTTGAAGTTCGTTAAAATTTTGTTCGACTCGTGGTCGTTAATAAAACTTGTTGCTCATTAATCGTTAAACTCGATGCTCATTGCTTGCCTCATTATTTGTTAAGCTCACCGAAATTTTCACCTTATTTTTTTAATTATAAGTAAAATCTATTAATACTATAAACATAAATTAATAAATTTAACCAAAATTTATTTCAAAAGAGTGTATGAAGTAATTTTAAAGTCGCTCCAAATTAATAATCTACAAATGCATTAAAATAATAAATAATTTTTTTATTTTGAGTGTATGAAATAATTTTTTAAGATAACTACTAAAAAATTATATAAAAAAATTAACGAGTTGTACGCGAACTTATCGAGTCGAGTTTCACTTTGCTCAATTCAATTCGGTAAGGTCTTGAGTCGAGCTTGAGTTCGAATCGAATTAACCTGAATAGAGTTTTTATCAAACTTTTATTGAATCAAGTTCGAGTTGCTCAATTAGTTAATCACCTTTGTGAGATAATCTTAAAAGCTTGTGATCAACAACAACAACAACAAAACACTATTACCATATGCAATGAGATAAGGGGAGGTAGGGTAGTAGGTTGCCCCCCAACGCCAGGTTGAGAACAACTTACGTAGAAGACCTCCGGCAGTCAGTAAATTAAAAATAAAGATAAAATACGATGCATGTATAAATAAATAAATAAATACATAGTTGAACAGTCTTCATATGCACGTATATAATAGGAAGTAATCTCTGTAAATAAATCACTGCGTAAAAATATCTGCATATAGACAGGAACGTAAGACCCTACTAAATTTAAAAAGAGGAAACATGAAGAGCATAATACACAGAAGTCAGCGATAACAAGCTACGAGAAGGAATAAAGTCAAATAGGTTAAAACCTAAACTAAGGCAACACTACTTCGCTATCCTAGTTCTAAGTCTTCATAAATTCTAATGACATAAACGTATAAAAAGTAGAAGTCATGAAAATTACTACAAAGGCATTAAAAAGAAGAAATGCATTAAAAAGAAGAAATACATTAAAAAAAGACAGAGATGCTACACCCTATGGTTGTGATACATACTACTTGACTATACTAGTCTTAAGTCTCCATACTTTCCTATCAGAGATTAAGTCCTCGGTAAGAGTTAAATCCTTCAAATCAAATCTCAAGTAGTCTACCCACTTCCTCTTTGGTCGTCCTCTCCTTCTGACACCGTCGACTGTAATCGACTATACCTTCCTGACTGCATCCGACGGTTGTCTAAAATAATTAGAAATGTCTACCCATATTGTGAGAGGCTGCTCTTTGATTTAATTAATCAAATTGAGCATGAAAACTTGTCCGATCATATTCTCTCCTAGCCCCCTTTACTATCCTTTGCTTATTAGATGTGTTGTTAGGATTTTAAATTAGGCATAATGTTAAAATTAATCCTTAATATTTATTAAAATAGTTATTTTAATTATTATTTTTTATAATATTTTTGTTCAACATTTTGTTTTAGGATAAAAAGAATTATAATATTTGATAAATAATTATTTTAATCTTTATTTTTTCTTATAGCAGTTCGACTCTTAATATTTCATTTTAAAGAAAAAATATTCTTATTTTGTAGTGAAACATTATTAACTATTAATTTTCGCTCACATAGATTTTTTTCACCTTAAAATGAAATATTATAAAAAATATTTCAAAAGAAATTTAAATTTGGGTCAACTACATAAATGACCACATAAATATGAGCTAAGTAACAAAATGACTATCATTTTCAAATTTGTGTAAATATGACCACTGAATTATTTAAATGGTTTCAATATAGCCATTTGTCGTTAACACTTAACGGAAGTCTCTACGTAGTAATTAACAAATTTGGTATAATTAGTGCATGGATCCTTGTAAAGTTATGTATTTGTGGCGCTTGAACCCTATTTTGTTTTCTTCTATTTTGATCATTACTTGAGTATGATTTGTTTCCTTGGATTTTCATTTAATGTAATTTGATCTTGATTCTGTTTTTAATTTGTCTAATTTCTTAATTTGAGCATTAACTTTAAAATATTTTATTCTAGTAAGATCAAAATAATTATCTAGTTCAACATTAAAGGTGTTTTTTCATAAATGTCGGAGGTCTTCCATGGAAGTTGCTCTTAACCTAGCGTTGGGGGCAGTCTACTACTCTACCTCCCCCTTATCCCATTACATATGGGAATAGGTCAGCTAATTTTTATTAATCTACAAATGGTATATTCAAATATCTTTCGATTGTTGGTGCTCGAACCTAAAATCTTCAAAGATAATAATAATTTTTTTAACCACTAAAATTACTTAATTCGTGCGGTCAGATGTGTTTTTATTTGTCTTGAAATTATGACATTGTTCTTAGCTTAAACTTAATCCCAATCTTAAATGGCATAATGTTCTGAACCCAAAGAATCAACAGATGAAACGTGTCAGATTAAAGCATTATTCATTTAATGGTTCCATTACGTGTCATCCACAACGGATCATTCGCGTGCCACATAAAAGGATTTGGGCTAAATTATTTTTACTATCGACTCCAATAACTCAACCGATTTGCTATTAGTTTTACCTTTAATGACGCATATTTTTGTCAACATTAAGAAACACCTGTAAAGAGATTTAAACAGTAATAACTATTGGCGGGGTCTTATTCCTCCTAACAATTAGGGATGTACACTCAATCCGAACTCAATAGATTTTTACTCGACTCGATCGGGTCAATTTTTTAAAAAAAATGTGAATTTGGGTAGGATTTTTTAAAGTGTATTATTCGGGTTGGGATCGGGTTTAGGGTGAAAAATATTTTATCCGACCTTAATAAATATATAATTTTACCTTATATATTTAGGAATAATTACAATAATACTCTCTATATATAATTTTTTTTCAATTTAGTCGTAGTTTTTATTAAATAAAAATATTTTTTTATTATTTCGAGTCGGATCGAATTTCTAAATTATATATTCGGGTCGTGTCGGGTCGAGTGAAACCTTATTTTAGTCATATCAGGTCTATGGTGGAAACTCCTTTATTCTCTGATCGGGTGGATCAAAAATCCGACCCATGCCAATCCTACTAAAAACAGGCATACGCAGCACAGGATGACGTAATCCCTCAAACAAAAAATAATGAATATGGAACCCACACAAACAACACGGCATCGGCCCCTGACCAGTTCTCTGTTTGTGTGCACCAGAATCCGGTCAAAGAGAACTCTGGCGAAAGCCACGAAACGTGGTAGAAGAGGAAGAAGAAGAGCAATAGAGATTTTACTTTTACTACTAGATAAGTGCGCAGCTTGCGGTAAATGGTAAAATAAATTTACCTCGGGACTGTTTTTCCCTCTAGAAGAAGACTTATTAATGAACTAGCGTATTAAGAAAAACAACTTAAAAAGTCCGACCTGCCGGATTCGGACCGGCGACCTAAGGATGTCGGCGATTACAAACTATAGTCCCCGCTCTACCGACTGAGCTAAGGTCGGTTTCCGATGTGACACTAAAACCATTCAGTTTTAAACCAATGTAAAATAATAGCTAATATTTAAAAATTCAAATACACATGGCTGAAGCTTAATTTTTCATCCCAAGCTTAAGCAGAGCACCATAGGGAAGTGTTATGCTCGACCTAAGAGACTTGCCAGCACCCCAGCACCGTAGTCGTAGTGTTTTATATGTCTAAACTAGACCTGACAAATTTGATTCGAATTCGATTATTTAAATTGATTTATTTGATTCAATATTCGATATTAACCCAAGTATAATAATCAAGTTTTATCTTATATTCGACCCATATCTGACCCAAAATTTAGCGAAACCGAAAGTAACCCGAACCGAAAACGAAATTAACCATGACCGAAAGAAACCCGAACCGAATTTTAACCCTACCAAAAGTAACCCGAACAGAAATCAATCTGAACCGAATAATAAATTAATTTAAATAAAATTGATAATTTATTAAAAATATTAAATTTGTAATAAAAATAATAGAAAGGTTGCTTATGTTATTACATAAGAGGAATATAAAAGTAAGAATCTGATTGTTAGATTAAAAAAATTAATAAATAAAGTTTAATTATCTTACTTGTAATAAAAATATTAGATTTATGATAAAAATAATAGAAAATAACTAAAACAAATGAAACAATATTATATTTATAATAAAAATAATATAAAATTTACTTATGTTACGACTATAACTTTACAAATAAAGTTATGCATTATTTTTTTAAAATTTAATAAAAATTTTAAATTTATATTTGGAAGTATTTTTTTATTAAAAATTTTATTTCTTTATCAAATAGTTATTATTATAAACTTTTCATACAAGATCAATATAAAATTTTGATAACAAATTCTATTACGTATTATAGGATTGTATTTGTGTCAAATTATCATTTCTAAATGTTGGTTTAATCCAAAATATTGAATGGTTGAGAATTGAAATCAAACATAAATGATAAGATTAACAAACAAGAAACCACTTTTTACAAGAATATATCAATAATTCTTTATATACTTAATTAGACTTATAATCAATTCAACAAGAATTGGCATGATCTAAAGGTTGACCTACACCGAAAATCAATCAATATGATATTTACTTGACCTAATATTGATCAGACTCGAAATCTAACCGATTTGATATTGATCCAACCTAAAAATCAACCAATTCGATATTGATCCGAACCGAAAAATAACTCATCCAATAATCACCGACCCGAAAATTGACATGACTTGATACCCGACCCGATCTGATTTATCGTACACCCGAACCAGATTCGATCTGACACAAACAAAATTAAACCGAATGTATTATAGACCATAAATAACCCAGTCCAAAATAACCCGACCCAAACCCGATTTGCATGACTCGTTTGCCACCTCTAGTCTAAACCATTTTATTTAGGGTAAACTACCTCTTTAGCCACTAAACTTTTGAGCGTTGTCTTGCTATAGTCACTGGATTACGAGTTTCAATTTTCTCACTAAAATTTTCATATTTTTCTTTTATTATTGAGTCATTAAATCATTTATTGTGTGACTATATCGTTATTATCTTCTAACTTTTCAAAAAGAATTATTTTAGTTTATCATAAAACTCACACAAAATCGATAAAAAAAATCTACGATTTTTTACTATTTAATCTCTTTCAAAAATCATTCGATGATATTAATTTTCAAAAATTATTACATATTTTTTAAAAAGAATGTTTCTCATATTTATATAATTATTGGAGGGGATTGGTTATCTCTTAGACCGAGCAAGAGACAAGACACGTTAATATGGGTCCTAATCTAATTACTTATTGCATTGTGAGTTTTTTAAACCAATCAAAACAACAAGCAAGAAGGATTGATGCTATGGGTCCATAACAATAATTACATGTTCATATGCATCATCATCATCAATTTCATGAATTGTTTTCACTCACGTTAAAACTTGAACACAGACACCCCATGTGCTTCTGATACGATCTACTTCATCTCTTTCATGGAACCCGACTGTAAAATTTTCTTCATCTCTTCTTCCTTTTAACCTTACCATTACAGAAGAGAGAACCCAACCCGAAAAAACTCGCACTCACATTCGAAATGATCGGATGCGGAAGATTCAAAACAGGGCTGACTCGAACAGTACCACAACTCTTCTTTAATGGCGGCTTTTGTGTCGAATTCCCGTCAGTGTAATACGTAGCCGATGATTTTCTCGACAGAGACGGCTGCTTCAGGAAGGTATGTTTTTGCTGCGTTTCTTTCGGGTTCGGAGCCGAACCCGTCGAATTGCTGCGCGTGATGAATTGGAGTGATCGGATTAGGCTTTTGCTTCGAGTGCTCTCGCAGTTGAGGCTGCTGCTTCTCTTGAACTGCCAGAAAAACTTCGATGCGGGCTTGTCGTCCTCGGCGTCGATGCTCATCGATAGAAATTCTTTCAACCTTCTGACCTTCCCCGCGTTGTCCGTCGAGACACTAGCCGCAACCGTCTCCGGTCGACGATGATCTTGTCTAAGGACGAAGGGTTTTCGCTTGATCTCGATCGGTAGAATCTTGCCATCGGAGAAGAGCTCATCGGCGGAGGGTAGTTCTTGAACGAAACTAGTATTCTCGAAACAGAAATCGAAATCCGACGATGAATTCAGTAGCGACGTGTCTAATCTCCGATGGCGGCATTCTTCAATGGAATCTGCACCGTCGAGATCATTGGAAAACGAGATCCTTGGGCTTGAAATCTCTGACAAAACTTCAATTGCCATAGCTCGGCACTGTCACCTCAGCCATAGAAACATGTTTCGACAATGGCCAATGGGAGGTGAAATCTTTATTATTTGGACAGAATATTACTTGGATCAGATTTACGTGTATATATAATATATAAATAGTTATTGTCAAAAAATAATATATAAATAATTAAGATAATGCCATATATAGGCAAAATTATTAAAATAATAGTAATATGTAAGTGTCATATAATTCAGTGCAACTGTTTTGGCAATTGAATTTTAACTAATCACATCAAACAACAAAGGATTAACTCCATAAAATTTAAAATTAAGGGAATAAACATTTTTATTAATATATGGTTATCACAAGTAGGAATGGGCATGGGTCGGGTTTGGGTTGGGTTTCGGCCAACCCCACTCGACCCAAAAATTTTACATCATTCACTCGATCCGACCCGACGCGATTATACTTTTGAGATAAAATTCAAACTCGATCCGATCTGACCAGAAATAAATATTATTTTATTCAATAAAAACAGTGATTTAATTAAAAATAATATAGAGAGGGGTATTATTGTAATTATTTCTAAATATTCAAGGTAAAATTATATTTTTTTTCAGGTCAGGTCAGATCGGGCCGGGTATTTTTCACCCTAAACTAAATCTGACCCGACCCGCACATCACCTTTTAAAAAAAACTCGACCCGACCCGACCAGGTCAGGTCAAAACCCATCGAGTTCGGGTCTCATGCACATCCCTAGTTACAAATTAAATTATATTCTAAAAATTCTCTACCATCTAATAATAAAACCTCAAACATTTTTACCGTCGGTGTTTAAATATGTGGCCTCTAAAAATAACAAATATTCTCATATAAATGGGTTTGAACATTAAGGGGTGTTTGGTTCAAGGATTGTAGGATTCCCATAGGATGGAAATCCCACATTCCCATGTTTGGTTGGCTGAGAATCTCATTCCCGGTAATGTTTTATTACCAATAGTAGATTTTTTGGGATATATTACCGGGAATGTCATTACCTCCATTCCCTTATGTATTGCAACATTACCGGCGTTTTGGACTAAAATGCCCTTAAATTTTTATTTTTTTTCAAAAATATCCTTCTTCTATCATTAAATAATAAAAATTATACGAATGTTAAATTACAAATTTATCCTTAAATTATTTTAGATTTACAAAAAAAAAGTTTATAATTAAAATTTTATATGAAGTTCAGGGGTTAAATTTTTTTTACCCTTTCATTAAACCTTTTTTATATTTTAAATTTTGTAAAAAAAATATATAAATATTATGAATTTAATTTTTTAAAGAAAATATATAAATATTTTACAATTTGTAATATTATACAAATATATAATAAGGACAATTTGGTCAAATATACATTCCAATAATCTTTTATTCCTTTAACCAAACATAGTAATCTTACATTCCTGCTAAACCAACCAAACACAAAATACAACATTCACAGTAATCCTATTTCCTGGTAATCTTTTATTCCCAATAACAATCTTACATTCCGTGAACCAAACGGACCCTAAGGGAATAAACTCTAAACGTATGACGAGTACATGGGCTGGTATCATAATTAATCTTATTTATTACGACTTTTGTTATGTAGCAACATATGCACAATAGCATCACGTGTTTTTCAATTCAAATAATAATAACTTTTAAAAGATATCACATTTATTAAGGAAATGTTATTATTCATTGAAGTTTCAAGTTCGAACATCAAATATATTAAGAATATTAACATTTAACATCAAATAACTAAGAGTGTAAACATATACATCATCTCTACTCTAAATTAATCAAAAAAAAATATCAGTAAAACAAAATATTTTTTATATTTATTTATCTCTCTATTTTCACCTATTTAATGCAAATCTAAGCTAACCAGAAGTTGAGTATGGCAAACTGGCTGACCTGACTACGATAAGCCAGGTTGGTTCGACACAAGATGAAACTCAAGCCAGATTTGGCCTTTTTTTCAACCCAATTGACCTCTAGTGCCGTCAGATCCAACCTTCATTGCCTTATACAAGTGAAAATTGCTTTTTAATTTTAAAAAACTTTTCTGAACAATTAATTAGCAAAAAAATATCTGTAAAATTTAATATATATATATATATATATATGTGTGATATAATTTTTATCTTTTTTTATAAAAGATAAAATTTCATTTGTTGAAATAAATTGGAAGGCAATTATATGGAATTTCAATTAATTTTTAGGTGCGCTCAGTATCTAAACTATTGGTTTTGATCCGTTTTAGTATTTAGATTTTTAATTTTTTTTTCAAAATCATGCCTAAAGTTTAGTTTTTATTTCATTTTAGCATTCCATCATTAAAAACTTTAATTTTTATTTCATTTTAATATCTCGTTCAAAATTTAACATTTTGGGGAAAAATGAAATTTTAGGTACTAGACGGACTAAAACTGATAGTTTAGGTAGTAAGCACGTTAAGTTTTTAATAGTGGATACTAAAATAAAATGTAAACTAAACGTTAAACATTATTTTGAAAAAAATCGAAATCTAAGTAATAAAACAGACTAAAATTAATAGTTTAAGTGCATAATTTACCCTTTTTGGGTTTTAAAAGGAAAAGAGCTTTCAAGGTGTCCAATCGATAGAGACAGCAGCATGGTGATTGATAGAGCTTACTCAAAATTTTTGAAGAAAACTTCTTGCATAAAAAGAGCTAAGAGCATTATTTAGTAAAGAAGCTAAGGGGAAGGGACAAGAGGAAGAAGGCATGAATGGGGTAACAGAGGGATGTGTCTGTGAAGGCATTATTAGAGAGAACAATTGGAATCCTGAGACAATACTCGTGTCCAAAGCCGACATATAGAGTTAGGGATGGTAACTCAACCCGAATTCGACGGGTTTCGACCCGACCCGATCGGGTATGATTTTTTTAAAAAAAATTCGGGTTCGGGTCGGGTCGGGTTTTTTTTTAAATGCACTGTTCAGGTCGGGTCGGGTTTAGGGTAAAAAATCCGACCTAACCCGACCCGAAAAATATATATAATTTTATCTTATATATTTAGGGATAATTACAATAATATCCCTCCATATATAATTTTTTTCAATTAAGTCACTGTTTTCATTGAATTAAATTTTTTTATTATTATTTCGGGTCGGGTTTCTAAGTCATATATTCGGGTCGGGTCGGGTCGGGTGAAACATTAATTTTGTCGGGTCAGGTCGGGTCACGGGTGAAGAACCCTTTCTTCTCGGGTCGGGTCGGGTGGCCCAAAAACCCGACCCGACCCATTGCGATCCCTATATAGAGTTTCCCTTGTCTAATATTTATTTATTATCCTTTTCCCCAACAATGCACATTGGTACATAAAATTCTAAAATTTAAAATTCTATAATATATAATTGGCACATAAAATTCAAAAATTCAAATTACATAACTAAAAAAATTATTAAATAATAAAATAAAAATATAATTAAATTTCAAGTATTTCGAAGTTAAAATAAATATTTTATAAAATAATTTAGAATGTTAATGTGAAAAAAATTTAAGAAATTAAAAATTTAGAATGTTATGGTAGCAAAATTTAATAAATTAGGAATTTAGAATGTTAGAGTGAAATAATTTAAAAATTATAAATAAACATCTAATATAAAATAAAAAATATAGGCCTTCAAAAACAAGAGGGATACCATTAGAGTTCTTGTGGATGAAAGAGGAAATAGGCTTGAATCTTTTAACTCTATGGCAAAAGAAGTGATTGATTTCTATTCTAATCTTATTAGAACTGTCGATCCATCGGTTAAAGCAATTGATCCTAACCTCGTCAAAAATATTCTTAACTACAATTTGTCCTATGAAGCTTCCTCTAGCCTTGTTAAAGAAGTTACTGTAGAAGAATTTCAAGATGTCATCTTTAACCAAGGAAATGATAAAGCCCCTGGCCCTGAGGAGTTTTCCCCTCTTTTCTTCAAGAAAGCTTGGAATATTGTGGGTAAGGATGTTATTGATGCGGTTAAACACTTCTTTTCGAATGCCTCCTTAATTCCAGCTTTTAATTCTACTGTTGTTGCTCTTGCTCCTAAAGTTCCAAATCCCAAACTGTTAAATACTTTCGGCCCATATCCTGTTGTTCTGTTATCTACAAATCCATTTCCAAAATTCTTGTTAAAAGATTGACTGATTTTCTTCACGAGTTCATTTCTTTAAACCAGATAGCTTTTATCAGAGGTAGAAACATCGTGGATAATACTCTTCTTGCCCAAAAGATGGTTAAAGGTTATGGTAGGAATTCCATTTCACCTAGGTGCACTCTGAAAATTGATCTTCATAAAGCATTTGATTTCATTCATTGGGAATTTATTTTAGCCATTCTTAAAGCATTAAATCTTCCTAAAAAATTCATTGAATGGACTGAAGCCTGTTTTACACAAGCAAGGTACTACATATCTTTCAATGGCACTTTGATTGGTTATTTTAAAGGGGCTCGAGGTCTTAGGCAGGGGGATCCTCTTTCCCCTTATCTCTTTGTTATTGATATTAATGTCTTATCCAAATTGCTCAACCTGGCTGCTAGTAAGGGTTTATTTGGTTATCACCCTAAATGTAAGAAGATAGGGCTCACTCACCTCTTATTTGCAAATGACCTCCTGATTTTCTGCAAAGGTAATTCTGATTCTGTTGCTGGTGTTCTTAGTGTTCTGGACCATTTCAAAGATATCTCAGGTCTCAAGATCAATTCATCCAAATGTGAAATATTTGTTGTTGGAATTTTTTCACGAACAATTGAGGACATCAAACAATTAACTTGCTTCAAAATTGGATGTCTCCATGTCAGATACCTCGGAATACCTCTAGTAACCCGCAAGTTGAATGAGAAAGATTCCGAAGCACTTATTGTAAAAATTAAGCAAAGACTCCATCATTGGTATGTTATGAACCTCAGTTATGTTGGCTGACTCGAGTTGATTAAATATGTTATTTTCAGTGTCAGCAATTACTGGTGCAGACAACTTATATTGCCTGCATCGATCCTTAAAAATGTGGAGCAGCTTTGTTCCATATTTTTTTGGAAATGTTCGGACAAAC